AACCACCCCCCCGCCCGGCTGTGGTGGCGGGGGGGGGGGGGGGGGGTACGGGGCAGGGCTGGTTTGCCCCAGGCTCCTTCTCAGCTCTGCAGGACCCAGCCTGGCGCCCACAACCCCTCCAGGGCTCCTGGTTCCCTGCTCCCCTCCTGCCCCGTGCACGGGTCCCCAGGCAGGAAGGTGCCGACAATTAGCAGCACATCAGATGCATCTGTGAAGTCGTCAGGACCGGGGGAGACAGATCTGACACCTCTCCGGCGGTGTGGGAGCATCTCCGGAAGGACCTGCTGTTTGCACACACTCTGCTCTCACTTCTAATCCCCTCCTGCTGACTGGCAACACCTCTGCCCTGCGGCCAAATAGCACCCCGTTATCACCGCAGGCGGGAGCTCTGCACCCCGCTGGCAGGCTGAGCTCCTCCGAGGCTTTTGGGGCCATCCTTCAAGGGCGCCCAGCTTTCCCGGTGGGACCTGAGGGGACAGGGGCAAGGTGGCAGGGGCACCCGAGTGCTGCAAAGCTGGCACCTCCCTCGTTGACCTGCTGGGTTGCACAAACTCATCTGCTTTAGGGGCTCAGCCCTGCAACACCTGTGTCCCTGCACACCCTGCATAGCAAGGCAGCGCAGGGGTGCTCTCCCTGCCAGGGTGCCCCTGGCCAGGCACGCAGGTCCCCGGGACACGAGACATGAACCCGGGTGTCCTGAGCCCAGCGGCTGCGGTGTCTCTGGGCCCGTTCACCAGTTTAATCCACAGTTCCCATCACGGGGTGAGCTGCGAGGAGGGCTCTAGCCTGGGACTTTTCCACCCTGGCTCTTCTCCGGTCCCTGGAGGGCCGGGCAGAGGAATGCCTTGGAGGAGATGTCTTATCAGGTGGCCCAACTTATCTGGCCCGAGGCATTAATCACCCATCAGCTGCCTGGCTGCCCCAGACAGAGCCCACCCTAAACAAACAGGCCGCCCCCCAGCCCCTTCCTGCCCCGCTGCACTTAATGGGACATCTGTCACAGCCGGGCGGGAAGGACAGACGGCTCCGGCTGACGGATGTTTCCAGGAGGATGCAGATAAGGAAGTGGGAGTGTGACTGGATTTCCAGGACAGCAAATAAACAAGGCTGGGCCATCCATCTCCCGGTGGCACCACGGCCTTTCCTTGCCTCCTCCAGGGCAGGTCCAACGCTGCAGACCCCGCCGTCTCCTAGTCTGCTCTGCACCACAGCTGCCAGCTCCGGGCAGAGGATCTCATCCATGCCCGGGTGAAGCTGAAGTCGACTGAGCTGAGGAGGCTCTGACAGAGCAGCGGAGATGGGCCAGGCTGGGTGCAGGGTGTTCGGAGAGCCAGCGGGACCTAAAACACCCCCGGCCAGCTTCTCCCATGCAGCCGTGCTCTTCTCTAGTGCTTTCATCTCCAGGGCCTCAGCTAAAGGAGTCTGCATGGTCGCGCCCATTTTACAGATGGGGAAACTGAGGGACCGAGCAGTAAGGTGCTTGCCCTAAGTCACCTCACAGGTCTGGCAGAGCTGGGAACATGCCTGGAGCCCCAGCCTGTCCTGGTAGAGCCACGATGAGGGGGCGCACCCTGTTCTCTCAGCAGGGTCCGTGGCTTGCTCCAAAGCGGCCTTAGTCTGGGGGATGCTTTCTCGCCTGGGGAGGCAGAGCTCGCCAAGGGCTAGCAAGGGAGCGGAGCTGGAGGTGGAGGAGATGCTCCTCTCATTTTGCCTCCTGGAGGGAGCGTGGGTCACTTCTGGGAGGCCGCGACCGCGAGCGTGGCCGTGCCCGGCGGGCTAGGGCTGAGAGGCCGGGATCCCCGGACACGGGACCCTGAAATGCACGGGAATCGGTGCGGGGCACCGGGACTTGGGCCAGGTCCTGGAGACGAGGCCACGCAGCATTTCACAGCCATGCTCCGTGCAGCAATTGCACGTGTCCTGCGGGAGCTCCCGCTGGTGCCCTGGCTCAGCACCGACTCCAGGGGAACAGGCCGGCTCTGAGCCAGCTGCGGTCCTCTGCCCCTGGGCTGGGAGCGAGCCTTGCTACGCTGGTCCTGGCTACGAGAGGACGGGGCCAAAGCACGAGCTCATCTTGCCTGACCTCCCGTGGACCCCATGATCCCTCCTGGCTCAGGACGCAGCTGGGACAAGATCATCGCTGCAGTTCCCAGAGCCTGGCACCAGCATCTCCGGGCAGGCAGGTAGCTGGGCATGCCAGGATGGGAGTCCTTGGAGGAGAGGCACCCCCGTGCCCCCTGCCCGTGGGGATCCTAGTCTGCTATGGTCTGTGCAACACAAGCCAGGGGACCCAGAGCTGCAGAAGGGAACAAGGAGACTTCCACAGCTGCCCTGTGGCTCCCGAAGCAGCCAAGAGGACCCCCCGGTCTCCTTTACCCTTTCAAATGCAGGTGTCACCGAGCCAGGTGCAGGGAAGGACGTGCGAGCTCTGAGCGGCCGGCTCCGGGCCCACACGTGCCGAACGCTGGCGTGCTGCTAAATGAAGTGACTGTGCCAACACCTTTCCAGCCAGACGCCCTCGCGGGTCCCACGTCCCCGGCCTCCCGCTGCAGAACAGCTGGAAAACGACGTGGGATTTTTGGTGGGGGTGGAAGTGCAAATTGTGGCGGGCCTGTGCACGGCTCCCGCTTCAGTAGCCGGCCTGGGCTCGGCAGTGTCACCTCTCCGGCTCGAGTGCGCGAAGCCAGGAGTGATCGTGGCTGCAATGAGAATTAGACCACTGGTGGATGCTGAAATGGGGCAGGCAGGATAGGCAGAGAAGTGGCCTCCAGCCTGGGATGCAGCTAGTTTTTCCAGTCTCTTGAGCTAATTCGAAGCCTGTTTTTTCCAAACACACCTCTGCGCAAAGAGAGAGCTTTTGGGGAGAAACCAGGGACCTGCCGAGAGCGCAGAGGTGTCACAGCTCCAGTTGGGAGCTTTCACAGGCAGATGTGACAGACTAAGATGGGATCTTAATGAGATCAGATGCAGAAGGGACCCAAGAGACGTCTCTAATGGACGCTCGCTGAGCATGAAAAACAAACCTCCCGGCTCGCCAGAGCGGAGGGGACGTCAAGGAGCAGATGAAAGTGCTCACTTGCACCCCCGCGACTGGCGCGTGATAGAGCAGCGCCCTCAGACGTGCGGCACCGGGGCACCCACCACATCAAAGAGGAAGCGGGGAGCAAAGGCATTGACTCGCCAGCCTTGCAGCAGATGGAGACGGCAATTGGGCGCAGCAAGAGGGACTGGCGCTAAGGAAGACCGGCACAAAGCCCCACCAAGCATCCCGCTTTGCAGAAGGCCGACAAAAAAGAACGGGGTGCAGCACACGCCTCTAAGGAGAGCAGAAATGAGGCAGCTTCTTGGCTACAGCACAGACTGGGAAGATGGCAGTGATGGGGCAGCTATGGGAAAAATGCCCACAACATTCAGCATTGCCACAGGACACAAGTAAAGTGCATCCCTGAGATGAAATGCAGCAAAAGGCCTCAGCCTCAGTGTGCAGACAAGGTTTTTTGTGTATGATATCTTTTATTAGACCAACTAAATAACTGGGAACATTGTTCTTTGCAAACTTTCGGGCACAAACACCCTTTTTCAGGCATAGGGAGAGTCTGCTGGTATTGTGTGTTCTCCTGGATGGACTAGGAGCCAGTATGCAAAGTGTGACGTGCAATATGCAATATGCACAGTGTGACACCAGCATCAACTGCATCCGTGAGACCAGGAGGTCTGGAGGGCTTCCACTGCATGCCGGGGGGAAATGCAATGTTGCCTGCAGGGACAAGGGCAAATATCAAGAGAGAGTCATAGGGAAGGGCTGGCAGGGACATCTAGCCCAAACCCCTACCTGAGACAGGATCAGCCCTGTCCAAACCATCTCAGACAAACCGTTGTCTAACTTATTAGCAAAACTACAGTCAACCCTGACGCAACACAGACATCACAGCCGGACCTGCCACAGGTAGAGCAGGGGGACAGTGGCAGCCAGTGTCCTGCGGCTGCAAAGGTTGTTAATATACACTTGAGAGATCCCAGGTAGAGGCCGTGCCCCTGCCACGGAGGAAAGCAAACTCCCCCTAGTCCATAGCAATCTGACCAGGAGCGTAAAATCCCTTCCTCCCCCAATGCAATGTTGATCTGAGCCTGAGTGGAGGGGCTAACACCCTCCAGCCATGACCCTCTGGGTTTGGTCCCACCAGAAGCACTGGCACAGCCCGGTTCCCATCCCCACCCAATGCTGCAGAGGAAGGGGAACACCCCTCTCCTCCAGGCGCGTCCAGCAGCAGGAGGGGAAAAAATTCCCTCGGGCCCCATGTGACAAGCAGCAAATCCCAGAAGCCTGGGAAACATCCATCTACATTGTAAAAGACCCCAGCGAAATGGCCAGCGATGGACTGATACCCTTAATGCACTACACTGATAAAAACGCTGAGTGACAGTGGAGTGCATAAAAGGGAATTCGGGGAGGATTTGCTGATGGGCTTGTAAGCACATGATGTGTCCTGGGACATTGCAAGCACCTAGAAACACAGCGCTGGTCCCATATGCACAGCAGCAGTGCCCATAAACCATGAGAGCCAAAGCAGAGAAGGAGATCCAGCCCAGGGTCCTTCTGGGAGGGACTGGAAAAGTGGGGAGACCCTCAGCACAGGGCAGCTCCGTGTTTGCAGCAGGGAAGAAAAGCACAGATGCAACGCAGTGTGCACAGACACTCTGGACTGAATCAAGCCGCCTTCCAGGTACACAACAGCCTTCCCGCCCCAGGTGCATGGCCAGCGCGTGCAGAGTGCTGCCAGCTTGGACCCCAGCTCCTTTGGGACTTTGTGGCATATCATCCAGGCAGGGGCTATTCCCGACAGGTATGGAGAGATGTGACATGCCACACAAGGTACAGGGCAAACCCAACAGTACTGTTCCCTTGATGGAGAGCAAAGGAGCAGCTTCCCCATGCTACAGACTGGGCCCAAATAAAGCAAAAGCAGTTAAAGGCACTGACCTCCCCTGAGGATCTGGACACCGTCCGAGCCATGGTGACCTGCTGCCTCTCAGGACTCAAACCCAAATGAACCGAAAAGGCAGCCCCTGGGTTGTGGTGAGTGGCAGTGGGACAGGATCTCCCTGGGGACATGTACACACCACGACATTTGCCTGTTCCTGCTCCACAACATGACCCCGGGGATGCTGCTGAAACATCCCACAACACAACTACCAATGAGGAAACCCCGCTCCAAGCAGCTGCCTCCTGAGCAGCTTTGCTGCAGGAACGGACAGAAAGCGTGGATATCGGCAGAGAAAAACCACGCTCATGTCAAGATGAATGATTATCAGCCTCTGGGTATCAGAAATGTCACAGTGGCCCAGTAACAGCTGGAACAGATCACACACCTCGACACAGCATCGTTGACAGGTCTCTTCTGCACCCACACATCTTCAGAGCCTTTCAGAGGCAGGGCTGGACTGTGAAATACCAGCCCAGAAGACAATTTCTGCTCACAGGTCCTGCCTTGTGTTATTTTGGGGAAGGACAGGGGACAAGGGAGGAGGAGGATGTGCTGGAGCAGGTGCACACGACACTGCAACACTTCCCACATCTGCTGGGAGAAACAGTGAAGTGACAAGGCAGCCTTTGGAAGAAATAATCAAGTCCAGGTGGCCTGACCAGGAACAAGGTCCCGGAGCCACCACAGATGTTAGGAAGGTAAAACAGATTAGGCTGTGGGGTGTGGACCAGTACTGAAAGGGGCAGAAATAGCGATTCCAAACAAAACGTGTACCTAGAGACTCTGGGAAAGAAGCTTCATTATGTCCGGGACCAGGCCAGAGACCCTGTGGCAGGCCTAACATGAGTGCACGGGTAGAAGAAATGGTCAGAGACAGCTGCACCCGCGCAAAGCAGCAGAGACAGAAGTGCAAAGAGCTGGTGACACGTTGCGATGTCCCTGGCAGCAGGGAGCCACTTATGCACAGCTGCCAGCCAACAGTTGGCTGTTACAGGTGGGTTTTTTTGGCTAAAAACTAAGCTAGTGCTGCAGTGAGTAATGCTACGGAAATATCCGTGGGGCCTGGCACTGGCAACGACTCCTTGGGAATATGCAAGCATGCGGCAGGTTTGCAGAAGCTGGATGATTCACACGTGCCTCTGTTTGTTCATGGTACCTGGGTACCGGGAAATACGGACAAAGCAAAGCACACACTTAACCTGGCAATCCGGATGGACCAGGCCCTTGCTGCTATTTACCCAGCTACCAAACACACCCACAGGATCGGGGCGTCACATTGCTCTAGGAGCAGCCTTCTTGCACTGGTGCAGGGGGCTGGCCTGGATGCCCTCGAGATCCCTTCCAGGCCGGGGGCTGCACCTGCCCAGGTATTAGAGCGCAGAAAGGATCAGACAACACTGCCTGCGAGAGAGACAGAGACACTGCTCATGCCCAGAGCTGCAAATCACACAAACCAGACAGAGCTGGGTGGAGGCAAACAACAGAAATCTGCCTGCCAGAAAGCTGGAGCCTTTCGCAAGAGACGCCAGCCTAATGATGCGAAGCCCAGCGGCCAGCAACACCCTGACCGGGCAGCCAAAACCTCAAGCCGCCTCGGTCATCAGCATGGTCAGAAAAACCCGCAGCCTGCTCCTATTTAGCGCGACCTTGCTGGAGGATGAAAGCACAACCCACGCACCGGACAGGATGGGGGAGCCAGCACCTGCCATGAATACTGTAAGACTTGAGCTGTGCACCGAGGAGACAGCTCAATTATAGCGTCGTCGCCAGCTTCACCTGCAAGCACGGGAAGCAGCGCTCGCTGCAGAGCTGATGCAAGCCCCGTGCAGGCCGGAGCTGTGCTAAAGCCGTGGCAGACAAGGAGGGACAGTCGTGGCCCTGACAACCTTGTTTATGGGGCTGGGAAGAAGTGCATCCTCCTGTTAATAGGGACGGAGGAAGCGACTCAGAGGCATCGTGCCTTGGCCCCTCTCCGTGCGTGCTGAGCTGCAGAGAGCAGAGCATATTTGAAAATCCTTGTTAATAAAACCCCCGTGGATGTTACCCTGCGTGGGTGGTTCTCCATTGCTGTGAGCCGTCTAAACTAAGACCCTGCCCAGACCAGGGCTCCCTCTAGCCTACTGACCATCTTTCCTCTGACAGCCACCAGCACCACGCGCTTCAGAGGAAGGCCTAAGAAACTCAGCAGGAGGAAACTACAGGCTAGCTCCTGTCCTGGAGCAGGAAGACGTAGAGCACTCCCCAAAACTTTTGGGTTTTGTTTTCATCCTTGCTAGTCTGACTCAGATGCTCTTGTTAGCTGAGGATGTTTCCTCCATTTCTTAACCCAGCTTGCATGACATCTTATGGCAATACGTTGCATGGGATGAGACCGTCTGTCATGCAGACAACTGCTTCCCTCTATCAGCTGTATATTTGCCACCCGCATGGCCCCGGTGCTTGCATTACGAGAGGGACTTCTAATCACGGTCGCTCTCCTATTCCTATTTGGTAGCTTCTTCCTCGCTGGCCCCAAATATGCCTGGTCCCATTGCTGAGCAGACGTTTCTGCTTAGGAACGCGCTGCAGCACGAACGCCGCCCTAATGCATAACACATTTCTCCGGCGAACTAAGCCGTGTGTTTTATGACGGCCATAAACGGTGGAATCCGCGGTTGTGAACCATTCCAGGGACGTCCACAGCCGGTTGTTTTCCTTGGGGGCGAGTTTGCCAGCTCATCTCTTTTTAGGAAGTTCTGGTCATGACGGTCCTTAACCAAAGCAGAGCGGCTGTGTGTCTGCAAGGTATAAACAGCAGGACCCGTGACGGGAACGGCTCCTGCCCTGCAGAGATGAGCGTGTCGCACCTGGGCATCAGAGCCGTGGCAGGGAGAGCTGCAGGGACGGGACGGAGTTCAGACCGGATAAATACCAGAGGAAAGCCACTCTGCAGAAACCTCATCACACAGGGCACCAGATGGATCCCTCTTGCAGGCCTGACTCTTGATGCAGCCCATGCTCCTGCCTCCATCCTGGAAGCCTCTGCCTGTGTTAATGGGGTAACATCGATCCTTTATAAAGCCAACATTTAAAAAAGCCGCAAGGAGCTAACTGGGGAGTAGGTAGGAGCCGGAGCCAGAGCCGGAGCATTGCGCTGTCATCACTCTCATCCTCGTGCATCCCTGTGACGGGACCTTGCGTCAGCCAAGGATTTGAGGGTGCAAAGTGCCTGCCAGGGAGATAATAACAGGGCAGCTAAATCTAGGGATAACAAAACCCCAACTGTAATGATTAGGGAAAACCCTGCCAGGGAACTGGGGAAGGCAGAACACAACATACATACTCAAAATGCAGGCTCCCCTCTCCCCACTGGCCAGGGCTTACTCCCCTTTGCTATCTAGCCCCTAGCCCTGTCCCTGCCACGACAGAACCCAGCCCAAAAGCCCAGCGCCAGTGTATAACCTCCAAACAAACAACACAACCACAAACTCATCGCACCCCTTCTCTGCTGACTGCCCCGAGTCCGGAGAGGCCCGGACCTGGCACCGCGCTGCAGTGGTGCCGATTTGTTCCTGTGCTGCCCCTGATGCAGGAGCAAGGTCTTCAACCGTGTCGTTCTTATATCCACCCGTAAAGCAGCACGTGCACCCCCGGTCCTCTACGCACAGCCCTGCCATGCAAGACGGCATGCCAGCGGTTACTGCCGGGCAGCACTGTATCGTCGGGCTCAGACCCTGTCGTCTTGCACACGGAGCTCGTTGCACGCCCTGCCTGTGCTCACCGGTTGCCTGCCTCTCCCACGCTGGATCCAGCTGTGTGCCTACGTGAGCGGGTGCAAGCTCCTGGCCGTACAGGAAGGAGATCGAGCGTCTTCCTCGCGGCTCACCGAGCACGCCACAGGGGCTTGTCCAGTATAACCATTTCAGTATCCAGCCAGCGAGAGGAATCAGAGAATCACGGGGCGGCGGGGCTGGCGGGGAGCTCCAGAAGTCACATCCAGTCCAACTCCTGCCTGAGGCAGGATCAGCCCTGTGCAAACCAGCCCAGACACATCCACTGTCCAGCCTCTTAGCAAAACTGCAGTCAACCCCGGGGCAGCACCAGACATCACACCTGCCCCTGCCCCGGGGAAAGCAGGGGGACCGTGGCAGCCAGTGTCCTGCTCCTGTAAAAGTTTGTTAACATGCGTTCAGGAGACCCCACGCAGAGGCTGTGCCCCTGCTGCAGAGGAAGGCAAAACCCCCAGCCTACACCAACCTGATCATGGGGTAAAATCCCCTCCTGACCCCAAATGCAGCATCGAGGTGACCCTGAGCAGGGGGGCAAGACCCTCTGTCTGGAAACCTCCAGGTTTCAGTCCCAGTAGCAGCACTGGCACAGCCCAGTCCCCATCCTCAGCCTGGGCTGCAGCCAGCACCCGATGCCTCTGAAGAGACTTAGAAAGAGTCCTGACACATGGAGTAGGAAAGCAGCCAGACATTATCTGTCCTGACATCCTCAGCCTGCCTTAGGATCGGCATCCCTTCACGTCCAAGACGAATCACAGCTCCTTTCCTTGCGGTAGCTGGCAGCACAACTGTCCCCGGGATCCTCAACTAGAGGAGCACGTAGGGGCCAGGCAGGGACGAGAGATGGGACGGGATGGGAGAATAAAGAGCTCATGCCAAGTGATCTGGCTCAGAAACAGGCACGGCCTTGGTGAAAATGGGGAAAGTCCCGCGCTGCAGAGCTCCTGCCATCCCTCCGAAGGGATTCCCCCACCGGCCCGGGGATGTGTCCAGCCTGGCCCAGCATCGGCTCAGCCAAAGCCCCCAGGGCTGTGCTGCTGGGGTTGGCACCAGACGGTCACATCCCTGGGGCAGGGCATGCATCTCCCTCCACGTTTACATGGGCATAGCTTAGCAAGTACCATCCCAGCAAGGGCTGAGGAGGGCAGCGGAGCCGGGGAAGGCCCTGAACGGGGAAACATCTTCCTGCCATGCCAGTGCCGGGAAGGACGTGCAGTTTTCACCCAGTCCCTTTGTGTCTCACCCCCTGCAACATCCCTCGCCGGATGTGGGGTGGGCAGGAAGGCAGAACAAAAGGCAGGAACAGGTGTGAAGATAGGAGAGAAAAGCTCCCCACCGAGCGCTTCGTGCACAGCTCGCCCCCAAGGAGGAGAAGACGGTCCCCTGGGACGGCTCTTAGTTGCATCTCGTGCTCTCCTGAACGGCGCTCAGGCCCTGCTGTGAAGAGGGCAGGGGGAGGACCTGAACAGCACGATTGTGCAGCACCGTGAGCTTCGGTTTGCTTTGCAAAGCCCTGGAGCCGAGCGAGAGTCTAA